TATGATATTGTCCGCTTTGGGCCTTTTCCGGCACGATTTTGCTCTTGGGCTTTACTCCAAAAGGCCTCTTACATATAAACACTTCACATTTCCTTTACCCAAGCGATGTAGGACTATGCACCTGTAGCTCGCCTGCCAGTGTCTCGCACCCGCCGACAGGATTATCACAATCCACCCCCCTTGAGGCCCGACGTCCTCGTCGGCATACTTCCGGCTGGGTCAGACTCCGATACCATTTGTAACGACCCACTCCACCACATGGTATGATATTGTCCACTTTGGGCCTGAGCCCGCACGATTTTACTTTTGGACTTTACCTTAAAAGGCCTCATACCAATTGGAGATGACACATTTACATATAAGCACTTTACCTTTCTTTACCCAGGCGATGTGGGATTATGCACCCGTAGCTCACCAATGTGGTAGCCTGCCAGTGTCTCACACCCGCCCACAGAGTCATCACAGTAAGTGCATGCCTTGTTTTTTTTCTTTCCACCAATCCTAACATCCTTCCGCCCTCTTCCTCTCGAGTTTGGATTGCGCAAAGGAAGTGACTAATGGTAGCAAAATTCAGTGTTGGTCTTCTATACGGTTGATCACTTGACTCACTCATGGACCGAAGATTTAAGTGATTTACCTAACCACAAGCATTTGTAACATGCAAAGTAAGTATTGCTCTTTTGTTTAAAGTATCATTTCTACAACCAATGATTGTATTCCGGTGGTATTTTCTCGCTTTTCAAAGAAAGGTCAAGAGATCAATTTCCATAAGAACACGTGGGTGTGTAAATTTCTTGTCAAAAAGACATAAACGATGGTATATTAAGGGTAAAACAAACAATTACAGACATTGAATGATCTTAGTTTAATCTGTGAGATTCAGGTGTGAGGTGGCTCTACTACCTCTTTAGATATTAGCCTCGTCTTTCTCACTGGACAAAGGACTAAACTTGCACAGTCGTGAATGTGGATAGCTCAGTTCAGAAATTTTGATTGTATAATTCTATACGTACAATCTGTAATACCCCGATAATTTTAAAAGATTTATTAATTAGGATTAATTATTTTATTTTATTTTTCAATGATTTATTTTATTTTATTGAGTGCTAGATTAATTATCTTATTTTAATTAAGTTATATTTCGTGATTATGTATGATGATTGATTGTTTGTGTGGTTGATTATTGATTGAATTATTGGTGTGTTGATTTTATTGGTATTATATGACTTAGTTGTAAATTCTTGTTTGTTTATGTGCTTCATGTAATTAGTATTTTAATTTCTGTATTTAATTAATTATCTTATTTATTTAAATTAATTGGATTGGGCTTAAGGAAAGTTGGACCAAAAGATGTGGTCTTGGGCTTGTATGAAACCTTATTGGGTTAATTAATGAAGGTCCGTGGTTATTTAATTATTTAAATGATCACTTTTGTATCAATTATATATATATATATATATATATATATATATATATATAATTATATATAAATATAATTAATTAATAATTGTTATGGAAAGATATATATATAGATATATATTTATTGATATTTATAAGTATATATGATTTAATTAACTAATGAGTTAATTATGGAAGGAATATATATTTATATATATATATGTTTATAGATATAAATTATTTAAAGATTATTATTTTAATTCATAATACTAGTTGAAATAGGATTTGGAATTTAAGATGTATAAAAATACACATAAGGCTTTAGGGTTAAAGGTTTTACACGTTAGAAAAATAAAACAGACAGAGAGAGAGGAAGAAGAAGGGCTGACAAGGAGGAGGTCGGATCTGAAAAGGAGGACGTCGGAATTGGAAGAGATAATTAAAGCTTAAAGCGTCGGTTTCGTTTCGAAACCTTCAGGCGAGTTTTCTCTAACTTTCCTCTTAGAACTCATAAGAATTTCACCTTGAGTATCAAGGCTTTAATTAAATTTATTTGTTTAAAAATTATGGTTAGATCGGAATAATTAAAAAGTATAAACTATTATATTTGATTTTTAGACTATTGGATTTTAATTGATATATATAGGTGTTATGTATATTTTAAAATCAATCTATAGGTGGATTTGTGACCCAAGAGAGTTAATTATGGTTTCTTTATTTTCTAGAATTGTTCTGTAATTTTCTGGAATTTTTCTGATATTTTTAGGAATTTATTAGGATTTATTTTCCTATTATTTGTTAGGAAAATAATTATATATATATATATATATATATATACACACTAGGTAACTGGGAGCGGCGGCACAATAAAGAATTGATCCAGTGCGGCGCGGTGTAGGATAATAGGGTGTATACGCCAATTAGGGCCATTTGATTAATTAAACTTATGTGAATTGATATGGTGCATCGCGGCGCATAAAACTTTGGTGCGCATGTGTATCTGGACCATAGAAGTGGTCTGGTCAACTATGGGATTATTTGGTGTATTGCAGACTATGAGAAGATGGTGCACTCGCTGATCTGGACCTTAGATCTATTATAGTTAATAGAAAATAATCTAGTGTGAGCGTGTTCATTTGCGCACTCATTTATGACCATTGGATGCGGCATAAAGGAAGTGATGGATTCAGTGTGGTGAGCTCACGGTAGCTGAAAGAGCTTAGCCAATACCAGCACACAAGGAGGCTTGAATCCAGCGCGTGCAAGTGCATAGTAAGCACGTGGGCGCGCGTGGGTAACTATGTTGGCCTAATTCGACACTAGAAATTAAAACGGTCATAACTTAGTCATTTTAAATCGAAATTGGGTCATTCTTGAACTCAAATTCAAGGATTTTTCGTCTTCTTTCCAATGGTACCAATTTCATTATCAGATTCCCATCCTACTAGGAGATATTTATGTTTTAGTGAGAAAGTGTCGGAAAACTATTTAAACCAATATGGAGTATTTAAAGGAAACTATTTCTGACATATTTAGTTGCACTAATTTGTGTAAATATAATAAATTAATAATTTGTTATGGAAGGAAGTGTATATATATATATATATATATATATATATATATATATATATGTATGTATGTATGTATGTATATTGATTTTAAATAATCAAGGATTATTAAAGAAGGTGTTAAACACATATATACATTAAATAACATATGTGTAGGTATATATATATATATAAATCATTTAAGATGATTAATATTATCATTCTTATTTGGCATATCTTAATAGGCTGGTTGTTAAATTAATGATATGCGTATAATATGCATGTGATGGCTATGTATGATTTAGCGTATTGTTAATTTTAAAGTTAATTCATGGTTAAAGTGTGGGCATGGATGAATTGTCAAATGATTAAATATATTACCTAAATATTTGTATGAATAGAATACATATATGGAAAGTATGGATGAATTGCTAATTAAATGTATGAATAAATATACCTGTGGAGGCATGGTTGAATTGCCAATGTATAAATATACATACACGGAGGCATGGTTGAATTGCCAATGTATAAATAAATATACTTATGGAGGCATGGTTGAATTGCCAATGTATAAATAAATATACTTATGGAGGCATGGTTGAATTGCCAATAGATAAATAAAAATATTTACAATGGCATGGTTGATTTGCCAAAGCATAATTACGTTGTTATGTGTTAGATGATTAAAATATCATCTATGGTTGTTGTATGTATGGATTGGATTGGGGTTAGATATTCTTAAATGAGAATAGTTTAGTACTTACTGGTTAGTGTATTATTTTACATTAATAAAATAATATTGGGGAAGACGTGGATGACTTGTCAAAACTTGGATTTTGGATATTTGATTTAAACAATTAAAATCATTATCGGGTTGGGATTAAATAGAGTATTTCTTTTATTATAATTTGTTGTTTAACTGATTAAACAACTGACTAGGATGGGATTAAGGTCAAAGGAGTTTTTATAAAATGAAATGGTAGATTGGTCTAGGTATGAATATTATTTTAATAATTATTTAATAGGTATGGAAATTTAATAAACCTATTAATGGATGTGATTAGTATAGTATATAAAATTATATATAGACATGTATATCGTGCTTTATTAAAGTTAAAACTTTATTAGGTTTGGTTTTGATCAGAGATGATCTGCTTATTGGTTTTCAGAGGCCTGGTAGAGTGAACTTGCTCGTAGGGTTTAACCCACGATTTATTTTTCAGGTTATTAGAGGTTCCAGTCTCGAGGTTGAGGATCCGCAGCTGGGAGACTGTCATTCGTCTATTCATCTTGTGTACTTTTAAATAGTATTGGATTATTGGATAATGTTTTAAGGGGTCCTTGAGTTATGGGATTTCCGAATTGTAATTGTTGGAGAATCATTAAGTAATATTTATTTATTGGTTTTCTTCAGCGGTTTATTTATTCTTTATTATTCTTCTTTGTATTCTGTGCTTGTTAAATACTTAAATTGTTTTGATATCCCTTGATTTTGTGCGCGGATTTGATCAATCCGTGTTCCAAAATTAGGGGGTATCACACAATCCTCTTCCAACCTGTTAGATGAATGTCTCAATGTTTGTACACGATGACAACAAAAAAGGCAGACAGTAGATTACAACCATTAGTATTACTCTAATTTTTAATCTCAATCCAGCTTCTCCCGACATCTTTTATGCCCATTTTCTGCAATCAATTCCATTGCCTCTTTGAAAAGTCCAGCTAGACCAAGAAGATCAACCATGCAATAGTAGTTCTACACCAAATTCTGATTTCATGGACTTAAATATGACCCTTGCTTCCTCAACTAAACCAGCGCGTCTACAGGCAGAAAGAACACCTGAAAAGGTGAATTCATTTGGCTTTAACCCTAATTTTATCATCTTTCGGAAAAACCCAATTGCCTCCTTTGCTCTTCCATTTTACCCACACCCCACTATGATCCTCGTCCAACACATTGTATCTCTCTGAGACACATACTCGAATAAAACTAATTCAGGCTCAATTTCACCACATTTTTAGTACATATCAATTAAAGATGTAACCGTTTCCTGATCAAATTCGCAGCCAGTCTTGACACATAATGAACGCATGAATCTGTTGGCCACTTCCATGCTCTGCCAGACTTGCACAAGCTTTTAAGATACTTTTAATAACAAATTGATCAACTTCTTTACCCAATCTAATCATATCATTAAACAGCCAAAATGCAAACAAATTTGATCGCACGTTAACGCAACCTGTAATCAAATCAGACCAAGCTACAATATCTTTCTTTGGGAGTCTCCAAAACAATCCTAATGCATCCTTAATGTTCCCAAGTCTTGCATAGAAATCTACAAGAATATCTTTCTTTGGGAGTCCATACGTGTGCCAAAGCTATGAATTTGTGCAACCATAACGATAGCAGCATCATACTGTTCATTAACAACATAACCAGAAAACATAGAATTCCAAATAGCCAAGCTATCGTGACTAGAAGATTTGCAGCTCAAGTATTTAGCAAATAGCTTTATTGCCTCATCCAGCTCAGAGCAATTTGCATACATATCAGTGAGAGCAGATAATGTATAAGAATAACGCTCAAAACCCGCTTTGATGACATAACAGTGAACCTGTTTTCCCATTGCTAACAAACGCAGACAACCACAGGTTTTAAGAGCACAAGCCAGTGCAAAAACATCAAAGCTTGAGGCCTTTCTGGTTATCATGCTTACAAGTCCCAATGCAAAATGACTCCCTTTAGTCGCAAAACCAGCAAGAAGGCTGTTCCAAGATACAACATCCGGTTCTAGCATTTGCTGCAACAAATTCTTTGCCTCCACCATATCACTCTCCTTGCTATATCCTGAAATGAGTATTCCAGGAAGTCGAATTTTTTACTACAATCTCATCGAAAACTTTCCGGGCCTCATTCAAACTGCCACATTTTACATACATGTCCAAAAGGGCATTCGTTAACACTGTCAAACTCCAATTCATCCCTAGAAATGTCACCTTGAATTGCTCTACCCATTTCAAGATCACCCACAATACCACAAGCTCTTAAAACAGCATAATACAAAAAACCGTTGGGTGTCTCAGATTGTGTCTCCAACATGTGGGTGTAAAGTCTAAGAGCTGTATGAGGACTTTCAAGATTCGTATATGCAGGAGTCCAAGTAACAACAGTTCGGTGAAGCAATTCTTCGAACAATGGTTGTGCATCATTCAAAAATGAGAAATCAATGCACATGGCAATCAAATTGTTGGCAATGAGCACATCATTCAAAGACCCATGTCGGATTAGATGAGAGTGAAGTGACTTTCCACGAACAAAGGCTCGAATTCGCCCACGGTGATGAATAGCAGTTACAATTCGAGTCACATCCATGAATACCCATGAATGCTAGTAAGTTCACAAGTCGTAGAACTGCTTACTTTGGAGCATCAGTAGTTCAGTACTGGAACAGAAAATCATTAGCAAAACGATAAACAACAAACTTTCTATATAATTTATTATTGGAGACAATCGAGGCCTTACACATCATAATTTTACGCACAAACATATATATATATATATATATATATAAAGAAAAGAGAAAATAATATGTATATATGATTATTGATGCAACAATAATTTGACACACACTAAAGTAGCTAGAATAATTGGTTAAACGAAATACCCACAAAAATATGAGGAGAGTATCAATTGTCTTAATTACATTCATTCATATAGAACCCACTTGAGATAAAAATAAGTCATTCTCTTAGGGTTAGTTTGGTGTGGTTAAATGAAATAAAGAAGGAATAAAATGAATCAGAGAAAGGAATGAACTATTCTCATTTTCATGTTTGGTTTCACAGAAAAATATTCTATTTTTGTAAAATATATATAAATATGTGTGTATATATATATATATGTAGCCCATATCTCATTAAATACTTTTTTTATTCATTTATTTATTATTATTATTTTTAAAGTGGGAATGGAATGGTCATTACTATAGTTGGAAAGTGGAATTAATTAGTAAGAATCACCATTCTCGAAGAATGGTCAAGAATTATCATTCCAATTTTAAAGTAAGTTACTAAACTAAAGAATGGAAACAAAACATTCAATTCCCACTTCATTTGATTCCATTCACTCACACCAAATATGACCTTAATGGTTGGTGATAGAGCCAAACGGAATCACACTGAATTTCCATGGACCCGCACCACGCCGAATCAATCCACACACATTGAAACACTCCAATGGGTCAGATCAGTGTGTGCACCATGATAAGATGCACACGCCTACACCGAATCGAAGCCCCCCTGGTACCCGCTTTACAGCGCCTCACAAATATTAAAAAAACATAATATATTTTGTTCCAGAAAATTTTAGAAAAATCCCAAAAATTATAGAAACCCTTATTAACCCTTGGTCTCATCTAATCGATTAGATGAGATTCCAATGGTTGAACCCAAGCTGATGGACCATCTAACCAGTTAGATGATGGATCTAACCGCAGATAGTTGGAGTTTGTAAAAAATTATCACTTTTCTATACAGTATCATCCAGGGAAAGTGAATGTGGTGGCAGGTGCACTCAGTCGCCCGTTTCACATTTTATTCCTCTTTCATTGCATGTGCATGATTATCTTATTGAGAAAGTTGTGAAAAATGATTTGAAAGATGATGCCTGTAATGATGTAAGAGACCATTTCATCCTGCGTTTTCAAATATATATATATATATATACATAACACAATGTTAACCAACTATAGGAGTAACTAATCAACTACACACATACTAAATAAAAGTAATTGTATGTAACAAAAATCAATTCATTCCGACATAAGAACATTAATTAATTGTGCTTTGAATCTTTCAATCAACTGAATGTCCTTCATAAAATGACATCAATATTTTAGAAGTTCTTCAGCCGACTATATGAAAATAGAAGGTAAAATTAGTAAAAATAATTATTATGTATCATGCAATAATTTAGCCCAATCCCAATTAAGCAAATGCCTTGAGAAACATGGCAGGCCAATTATTGGGAAAATATAAAGATATGAATTAAAGCGGACATTCTTGAGTTTTGGGATAACACGGGCACGTTTAGAGTTGACTATGAGGTTCCTAGCTTCTTATGATCTACATCCTTGTATTGGTACATCTTCAAGATTGGTCAAACCTTGCCTAAGTCCAATCCAAGCATGAAGGGCTCTTCACACTCCATGACACCCAAAATCAAGCCCCACAAGAAATATGGTTGTAAGCATTCTAACCGAAGTGAAATGACTCTCCTCACTAGCTCAACCATTTTTTTTTTCCCACTTTTTAATTACCTAAGTGTAACAAAATTCACATACTAACCATCAACTAGGGGTGCAACTTGGGTTGGGTAACCTGAACCCAACCCGAGCTTAGCCCGATTTTTCACGAACTTGGACAATTATTTTTACAATTAAGGTTGGGCTTAGGTTGAAAAATCTCAACCCGAATTTAATTAGGGTTGGGCTTGGGTTAAAGTGCAAGCAACCCAAGCCAACCCGAACCCGAATTCTAATAGTATTTTTATATATATTTTTACTTTTAAATACATTATATATAATATTTAAACTATGATTACTTTTTTTATTTTCAACTTCTTTTGTTAAATCTTAACATATTATATGTTAACATTTAGGAGAATTAATTTTCTAAAAATTTGTTTGTAATTTATTAAAAATCTACCAAAAAGTCTTAAACTTTTTCTTGTTTAAAAGTAATTTAATCTAAAATTAATTCAAGATCATATTAAATTTTCGGTGTAAGTATTAGCCATATGAGTAACCCGAACTTTTTACCCGGAATCTAAACCCGAGTTGCAAGCTCGATTTTAAAAGTAGAATGATGGATTGGGCTTGGGTTAAGTAGTTAAGGTTGAGGATAAGGTTAGGGTTGGGCTTGGGTTTAGCATTTCATATGGTAGGTTAGGCTCAAATTATACCTCAAATCCACCCAACCCGCCCGAGTTGCAGCCCTACCATCAACCTAAAACCTACACCAAAAACTTGCCCAAAAAAAGAAGATGAAGAAAAACCTACACAAAAAAATTGTTCTCAAATTTCCCAAACACAAATCCAACCGAAAACAACACTTTAACCATTCAAAGCAATACCTAACAATGATCAAAACAAAAACAAGAATGGGAATTTAGCTTTGGCCGCCACACTTTAATTCACTGTCAACACCACAGCCTAAAGGACCTCCCCTCTCTCATTTCTCTCTTTCCATGTACTTACACATTAACAAAATCAACTCTAAAATGTCTTTCCCATGCCCAAGTGGCAATAGAAATCCCAAATTTCAATAAAAACGCAACAAAAAAAAAAAAAAAAAAAAAAAGATTCATTCAAACAGTTTAACGAATACCCACTGCGTGATATACAGGTCGTCCATACACAACATCTAAAATCAAGAGGAAACATTAAACCACAATGAATTCAACCATTACCACAAGTATAAATAAAAATAAATAAAATAAAAGTCTCAAAATTGAAAATTCTAAAATGAATTTTTGACACTAACCTCAATCAAGAAGGCAAAAATCCGTGATGATGATTTTGAAATAACTCATCCCAAGCTGGAAGAACGATGTTTACCTGTAATTATCTCAAATCGAATAATCAAACAATAGGACTAAAATAAATCACCACACTTAATTTCATAATACAATAATATATATATATATATATATATATATATATATATATATATATATATATATATATGTTATGAAAAAGGATCGAATAGGAGTTTATGAAAACAATAGAAAATTAATGACAAGAAAAAAAAAAAAAAATAGGCACACACACAAACGAGACAACGATTTACGTGATTCGGCTATGGCTACATCTACAGGAAGAAGACAGAACAATCTTTCATTATGGAAATAAAGATATACAAAGCAAAGTAGCTCACACCAGAAACCCAAAAACACTCGCACACTCTCACTCTATAACTGATATTACAAACTCACAATTGATGATTTTGGATGATCTGGAATGCATGAGAAACATGGCTATTTATAGCCAAAGAAAGCCAACTAGGACACCACAAATACATGTTGATGAGGCTACTTGGTGACCACGAAATAGGCTTGTTGGGTACTTAAACTTGAAGCCCAAGGTGCTAATGCAAGATGTTGATGGAATCAATTATGCAATACAATACTGAGTTGGCAAAATTTGAGCCACAAGTTCAACAAATCTCCATCCTGGCGAAAATTCAAATGAGCCATTGTATCTCTGTCAAACAACCTGTCTTCTCCACAAAACAAATTAATTAAGAATTTTAGCTAAGTTTGAGTCATCCTCAAACTTAACCCTCGGGCTCTCTTTCTTCAACCCATGTATGTCTTATGCAGCCACAAACATACCTCCAGTATTTCTGTCAAACTCTAAGCGCTTATCAAAAACACCCTCAGAAATTCCAAGTTTGACATCTCCTTCAGTAACCTTCTCTAACCGCCCACAAACCACCGGTTGGTAATGAAAAGTCATCTTCTCACCATTGTGGAGAATAAGACGTCCTTGACTTTTCATCGCATCTCTGTTGTAACCAACTACTTGCCTCCCACGCATTTTAATGGCACTCGAATGGACTATCTCATTGCCACCAAGATTATTGCAAGTGAATGTCACACATATCCTCATGGGTCTGCCTCTCTGTAAGGACTAAAGGCCTCCTTTTTTCGTTTTCTTGCTTTGAACTGCAATTTTGGTTGCCATCTGAAAATGGATTTCATTCTCCCACCACGTTGTATAGTCCCCTCACAACCCTTTTGAGAACTAGGATCGTCACTCCTCATTCTAACTTTTCTTTTACCAAGACCTGAACACAGATTTCTGCTAGCTGTAGAAGACCATGTAGAAGCTCCACCTGTTATTGTATTCCCTTGAAGAAGATACAATTTTTCACCTTGGTGCCCTGTAGTACCACAAGAGAATCCACAACGACCATCATTACTCCACCCTCTGTTACAACCTTGTAGCCTTTGGAGTCTAGCACACTTACTGAAATAAGATTCATCTTCAGATCCGGTACATGTCGCACATCTGACAATGTTCTCACCAACCCATTGTACGTCTTGATCTTGACTATTTCAATTCCCAAAATTTTGAAAGCTTTCCTGTCCGCCGTCAAAATCAAACCACCTTCACCTCTTTATAGGAAGAGAAAGAATCCATATTAGGACACATATGAAAGGAACAACCAAAATCAAGAATCCAACTGTCATTAAATAACATACATGAACACAAGGTTGTCATGAGAACATATTTGTCACTTTCCGAATCACTCGTTATAGTAATTACCACAGAAGCTGCTTCCTGAACCTTCTCTTAGCCATTCTTATTC